GGGGGATTCCTCTGTAGCAGTTCCTGCTCTCCACCTGTAGAGCACAGACACAGCTGCACTCACAGGAGCCCATCTGGGGGGTCAGGGGTTGTGTCTCAGTCTGGTCAAAACCCTGATGCCACCCACACTTGAGAAACACCACAGCGTGTCCAGCATGGTGCAGCCCCAACCTACCCTCACAGGGAGCGCCTGGCCCCCAGCACTGCCTACATCCAGACATGGACATTCCAAGTGTAAATCTTGTCTAAGAGAAGAGAGAAAGACAAGCCCTTTCCTCCTCCTGCAGAGCTCTGATTTTGTAGGCACTCAGGTTTTATGGAGCTCTCTCCACAAGACCATCCAATATCAGGAAAAATCCTTCTTTTCTTTAATACAGCAGCTCTGTCCCATCAGTGCAATGCTGTGCTGGTGGAGAGCATGGAGCAAAGTCACAGGTTTGACACAGATGCACTGGTGCACCTTGTCAGGTTTATACACTTTTTTTTTTTTTTGTGAATTTAAAACAGTGCCAAAATTGGCTGAAAACAAGAAGGAAGGACACTCTGAATTATTTTACTTGCAAAATATCTGCATTTCCTCCCTGCTTGTAGTGAGCTGGGACCGGTAAGAAGAGATAAGGGTGCACGAGGCCAGCATGCAGGTTCTTGAGATTAGGATTTCCTGACCTCATTATCTGGATGGAGATCTCAGCCAGATTCCCTGATACCAGTTCAGTCTGCCACTCCTCAGCATCTGGGTTATCACCAGGGCACATTGGGAACATCTGCTGGGGCAAAGCTGCACTGATTGGGCTGGCCAGCAGTAACACAGCCATAACTCCATTGGAAATGGTACATAAGCAGCCTGGAGATCTGGAAAAAGCAGGCTTTATCTAAGGCAAGTCATACAGGGATTCCACAACAAAAAAAAATCTTATTTCCCAGGGTGTCACCTGGGATAGGGGCAATGGGAAATTTTCCTCTGTGGCAACTGTTTCTCAGAGCATTCTTCTCCAGTTGTTAAGGACATAAACATAATGTTGTGCATTAGAGTTGATACACAGCGGTAATGGAATGGGCCAGAATTTAGGCAACCATTCACCTAACTAGCTAGCTAACTAAGGCTAATCATCTGAGATTCCCCATGTCATAAAGGGAGATAGAAACAGATTCTGGAGAGGAAAGCAGCTCTGCCTGAACAAGCACAGATGGTACACATTCATTATTTGTATGACGTGACTCAGATGCCAATACAGCCATGTGTCCATCCAGACGCACAAAAACAGGAGTCTTGTGCCATTTGCGATGCACAAGGGCATCCAAAATATGCTCATGGGTGGGAGATACAAAGTGTTGGATAACCCTTCCTCTTCTCAAAATATACGGGAGGGGGTGCATTTGAACCAGGAGAAAACACCTGCGTGTCAAGCACCTGATCCGTATCTTCATGCTTGAAAGTTCAGCATTGGAGACACTGATTTTATAGCATTATTTTTCTAAGATGAAATATTCCCCACACAGAGTTGAGGCCAGGTCCCAACCATGGCATTGTGTTGCAATTTAATTTACCTAATTAAAATTTTCATTTAATATCCCTGTAGAAGACCAGTCCCAGCACAGACAGTTGCTATTCACATTCCTGTTTTAATAGAATTAACTTCCACACATCTCCCGAACATAAGGGAAGAAGAAAGAAGGAAGTAAAGACAGGAAGGAAGGGAAGTAAGGTGTTATGGTTTTGGGCCTGTCACAGAGCTAGTGTTCTTTATGAGAATACTTTCTCTCTGGTGTCTGCTGTGAGATGTGACCAGGAATAAGCAAAGCAGGCTCTAGCTTAAACATAAAGAAAACTTTATTACTTAAACTACAAGAAAAAAAGGAAAAAAAAACTATAAGGGAAAAAATTGAAAACTTTACAAAAAACACTTTCTTCTTCTTCACTACTAAAAATTTCTCGATTTGATACATTCTCTCAAATTACTAACTGCTCAGTCTGGCACTACTCTTTAAAATATTCAAATTTTAGTTTATGAAGAGGAGGGGAGGTTTTTTTTGCACTATAGGCTTCTCTTGGAAACACGCTGAAATTTTGTGTGCTTCTATGTCACTCGGCACTGCTTGGAAAGTCTTTTTGCTGCTTGTGATATTTTCTTTTTATGCTTAGTGGTCTCACTACTGTGCATGGACTAGAGTTGCTTTTAGGGTTGTTTTTTAAGGATGCTTTGTTTCACTCTAAAAAAGCACAGTTTCTGCTTTGGGACATCTGTCTCTCTTATTTTTTTCTAACTCTTTGGGACTGAGGGGTTTCTACAATGAACTTTCTTGGTTCTGAGGCACTGCCTCTTCTTAAGTGCAGTCTCTGTGTCACAGGATTAAAACTGAGTCTACGGCTACACAAGAAAAGTTTAGCTAAAAGGCTACTCTAATCATCTCTCTCTCGACTCAGCTAGTCTTCTCTACTTCTTTCAGGCTAGGTCTTTGTTATCTCATCTCTTATCTCTCTTCTTATTCAGCTCTGAGGAGGATCAGCATTTTTGCGAGGTCTCAATCATGAAAGAAAGGGGTTAAAATTTCAGTCTCTGCTTGTCTCAGAGCTCTGGCACTCTCACACTCGCTGCTGCTTTGGCTGGGCACTTCTTCGCTGCACTTCTCTCTCTTTCTTTCTCTTCTTGGGCCGGCTGCTATCACATTCGTCGTCGCCGGCTCTCTCTCTCTCTTTCTTGGGGGGGGATGGCTGCCCGATGTCTCTTGGGGCTCTTCTACTCTTCCATCTTAAAGGGCCTCCTCACCCCCCATCTCTGTCCAGGCCCAGGCCTACCACATGGCTGCTGCTGCTGGACGGGGAAGGGCGATCTGACTTCTTTCTCTCGAAGTCTCAAGAGAGCTTTTCAGGGCCGAAGCTCTGCTTTTAACTCTTTTGTGTGTTCTCAGAGGTGTGTCTAAACTCTACTGGCTAAACCACGTGCTAATATTAAAATTTGAGCACTCATTGGTTTGATTACAGCATCTCAGAATTTTCACTTCTTCTTGGTCAAACCACCACAGAAGGGAAGGAAGGGAAGGAAATTCCCTATCCTATACTATGTTTTTCTTCTATCAGCAAAACCATAGAGGAAACACACATGAAAGCATAAGGCAGACAACAGGAACATTAGGAAATTAAATTCCCTCAAGGTAATGCTNCTTCTGGAGTTAGGAAGCATTTGGAGTTGAATTTATATTTCCAAAACAAGTTCCTCTCATCTGCCCTGAGGAGATGTCATTTTGTTTTCCAGGACTTTGTCCTGAAACAGTTGTGGGCTTCTGCACATTGAAGGCCAGATATGGATAGAATAGCTTTTCTCAGAAGAAACTGGGCCACTAATAGCCTAACCAATTACCTAACTAAGGGTAATCCGCTTGGATTTCCTATAACAATGAAGTATTCTGGAGAGGGAAGACGTTCAGCTTAAACCAAACTCAGATGGAAGCAATGCAGTCTGTGTGTGATATCTCTCAGCTCCTAATACAGCTGTGTGTCCCTCCATATGCATAAATTCAGCAGTCTGATGCATTTTGAGGTGCACAAGGACATCCAAAAAATGGACATAAGCTGGTAGATACAATGCCCTGCAGCATCCTTCCCATTCTTCAGTGGTGCCAGTGGGCATGGATTTGAACAAAAAGCAGACTCCTGTCTTTCAAGCACCTGATCCATATTTTCTTGATCTGAAAACACAGCACTGGAGATTCTGATTTATATACACCTCTACTTTTTTTTAAGGTACCATATTCCTCACGCTGAGCTGATTCCAAACCACAGTCACAGTGTGATCCTTCTATTGTAATATTTTATCCTGGTTCTGACCAAGACAGGGTTAATTTTTGCCAGGGCAATTTTTTTGGTTAATTTTTTTATCATCTCCAGGTAGATGATACAGATGTTCAGGAGAGGGTTCAGTTCATATGATACAGCAGTCAGGACACGGCAGGGCCAGGACTCAGGGCTTATTCTATGCCACCTCAATGACAAGGGGCAAAAGAAAAGCTTTGTCTTTCACATCAAACAGGGATCACTCTCAAAATCACAACACTCTCCACTGCAGAAAAACATCTCCGCTCTTTGTGACACCCAGCACAGCCCCCCCCAAACCAACATTCAAATAGTCAAGAGTGGCCCCGGGTAAGGGGATACTCAGCACATTTACATCCCTGCACCTGCCCTGTGCCCACAGCAGCGGCACCAAAATCCCCCCCAGCAGCAGCAGCAGCAGCAGCAGCTCTATAAAGCTCCTCTTGCCATCCCTGACACTCCACCAACAGCAGCCACTGACCTGCCTCAGGCTCTGCTGCCACAGCCCCCTTGGCCAGCACAGCTCTGCTCCCCAGCTCGCACCATGGAAGCTTGTCACCCGCGACAGCAATCCAATGTCAC